ATTCTTTGCTTCTGACAAAATCTGTATTGATGAAACAATGATGGCGTGGGACGTACCCACTGCCTACGCCAACATACACGTGCCTCGCAACCCCAAGCAATACGGCAACGAATGGAAAACAATAGCCTGCTGTGAGACCAATATAATATTCAGCGTTGATTTGGTCGAGGGGAAGAATAGGCCAGACTACTTGCCACTTTTAAAGTTTAGCGAGCATCTGGCTACGGTTACGGTTGTGCTACGATTATGCCAGTATATTGTTGGTTCTTCTAGACGAGTCATAATGGATTCCGGGTTCTGCGTTCTCAAAGTATTGTACTACCTACTGACAGTCGGACATAATAACATCGTTATAATTAAGAAGAACAAATCTGGCCTAAGGGATTGCCAGGAGATCGTATGAAGGACCATATGATGGATCGCCCTTTGTTTGATGTCCAAACACTGCAAGGAAAGTTCAACTATGTTGGTGAGAAGGATGAGAGCTTGAAGTTTTATTTACTGGCTTTCAAATTACTATATATACATGCCTATGTGTATGGTAGCGTTCGCCGCGAGGGACACACATTATACCGTTACACAGCAGGGGTAGGGTATGAGATGCAGTACCCGAAGGTGTATTCAGATTACTATAATCAAGGTAGAGCCGCTGTAGATATTAATATTAATCTGAGGAGCAACACGCTATCTATTGAAGAAGGTATATTTACACGTAGTTGGGAGCAGCGAACATTAAATTTCTTCATCGACATTACCATCACTAATTCAGTGATGCCAAGCAAGCATCTACATATCAACAGCAAGACTATTCCAGAACATCATCTCCTATTTGTTTTAGGGTTTAGGGTTTAAAAACTTATCATGACGGCGTTTCACTCCGTCGTCGGGCCGTAGCTGAATCCGAATGCAACTTTAGAGAACGAAAAAAGAATGAAGGTGCATATAACATCAACAAGCGAAAATTCAATGAGGTACGTACCAGCTCGCAATCAATGGTATGCACTGGGGCCGGTTGCAAGCTGCCGAGAGGTAAGAGTAGACGCAAAACGTACTGTGTATGTTCGCCCTGGAAAACTGTATGTACTGATTGTTATATAGATCATAAGCTACAGAAGCTTGGGCACTATTAAGAATTTTTGAAATCGCATACATGCGATGGTTTTGTACATCTAATAAAAAAATATCTCCATTCACAGCATCTGATTTAAGATTTCGAACTTTAGTGACTATACATAATCTAACAACATACAAGGTCTGAGAGTATCAACCGATTCGTTACACTGTTACAAACACAACGACACCTTTAACATCTTCATACGTACAGTAACACTCATGATAGTGTGTATTTTGTTAGTGTACACGTTTGTGTATAGTGACTCGAAGTACTTTTTGACAGTTCTGGTGTATACGGTTGCAATTCAACAACGGCTACACCGACGAACCAAACTGTTCAGGACGAGCCCTTCAATTGCCGCAAAAAAAATCTTGGAATATATTAATACACGACAAGTTATATTAAAAGCCAATCGTACACAAACGTGTATTTAAATCTACATTTTGTTCACCTGTATTTTTTTTGTATTGTTTAATTTTTTGTGCATTGATAGTGTTCACATTTGACAAAACACGTAGTTATGGGGTAGGATACGATGGACATAGATGGAGAACACTGGCCGTGTCCTGTACGAACACATCGAGAGAAAAAGGAGACAATGCACTACGTGTTTGAGATGCAAGGGTTTTTAGGTTTTAGGGTTTTAGGGTATTATATGTGTTTTAGACCCAGTAGAAAATCGATACATTGGCGACCATTGCTGTTGTTTGAAGCGAGTGCACGCAGACCCGACGATCAGAGGCAAATAACGAGTGCAAGCTACAGCGACTCCTTTGCCAACTATACGCACAACTCGAAATACAGCACCAGTGAACTATAAAGAAGTTGACGAGATTACGGTTGTTTCTGAAGCAAAGATTGCCGAACATGATTATAATCGAGAACGTATTGACGAACTATATGGCGTATTGAGTGTTAAAAGCCCAGTCTTTCAAGTACAATATAACGTACGAATCGCTTACAAATAACAGGCCCAAAGCTACCAAACAACTCATAGGACATATCAGAGCGCTGGTTAAATCTGTAGTTCAAATAGTATCTCCTGTGAACAAAAGAGTATCTGATTTACTCTATAAACAAGGGATTCACTAGGGCTCTGAAGGCGTCATTGCAGACAATGAGAAACTTGTCAGAAATATTGCAGACGTTTGTGTTAGATCACCGGACGAGGAAGTAAAGAGAGCTTTCAGAGCTCTACTTTTCGAACAGATACACAATGAATACATGACTAAGGCCATGAGTGGAATTAAAGTTAAAGAAGAGCTACAGGCGGCTGTGGAAAGATAAAGAACGGTGGCTGGTTCTGATGAGGAATTCAAAAATGATACCCTCGAGATTCCTGACACAAAGTTCACGACAAGCGAGCGCATCAAGGTACTTTGTGACTGGAATTAAATCAATCAAGGACATAGCTTGAAGAAAAGAGTAATATAATCGCCCGGGGTATGTTACTGTGATTGAAATGTATGTTAATGATGATAATTTATAAAATTTTGTTTAATGTTCATGACTGAGTTGATTTTACTATAGTTGATCCTGTACTCTTGTATCACAGGTGTCAAAGAATAGTTTTCTATATGCTTTAGATTGGCTTGCTGGGTCCGATATGACGTCCGGCTATGTTGTGGTGTTTGCGGTCAGTCTCGGTTGGTACAGCGCGCCTGAAAGATATCCGTACATGCTGCGTAAGTATAGTAAAACAATGAATTGGGACAAGTACAACAAGCACTGCGGAGTTGACACACCACTTGCACATTTGGGAACCGCGAAACGAAAGACAGCCGAGGGGTTTGCAATCCTTAGCACACCCACTAGTACTCAAGGAACACCCTTACATCCAGCTGCTACACCTAATACATCTCTCCGAGCAGACGGCACAGTATTGCAACCAAACGGAGGGTACAAACATATTGGATGTATACATTTCTTCAAGATGCTTGAGTTGGTGACGAAAAAAAATCAAACATCAAGCTGGGATATCATACTACTGCACTACTTTCATTTCACAGACTGATTTCTTGGAAACATTCACAAAGGCATATGACGCATTCACAAAAGAGGTAAAACATTTACAGACTTTTTTAAAACGCGACTATAGAAAGCACTGCAATACTAAGAACGATGAGTGTGATGATGATATATCACACTGCATGACTGCATGCAGCATGCTTTAGGCGGAGACAAGTGTACCAAAGCGCACGAAATCCGATGTAAAGATTGTACGAACATAATGACTATAATACCTGCGATAGAACCGTCTGTGCGTGAAAGCTTAATGAATAAATCACATAGAATGCGAGTCGATGCAGGATCAGCACAACTAGCGGCCGGCAGCACGGAACCAGTGAATATAGAGATTCCAGAGTTGATGGTACGAGTGATGAGCCGGTGTGGACAGAGCTCATCAACATGCTGCCGCCACAGATCGGAGATAATGTTCAACTAGCTAATGGTATGGATTTTGCAGAGCTAGTACCTATACTTCCTGTGCTTAAAGAGTATAGACTCTGAAATCATAATGTTTAGAAATCACATGGCCATAGGCTCCTGGCAAGACAAAATCAAGAATTCACTAGACTCTGAGAGTCTGCTTGTGATTTTAGATCACAAGCAGAAGATTCTATCATAATGGTATCTCGGAGATATGATCAAATACTTTGGCAAACGTGGTCACAGTTTATTGAGTGCAGCGATCATGGAAAGGAACGAGAAGAATGGGAATATATATCCTAAATACCTTGATATGGTCATGGACGACCATAATCAGAACAGCGCCAGTGTTCAATCCACACTTGAAGGTCTCATGTTGCACATAAGTAAGAAATATCCTACTACAAAAGCTTATTACGATACTGAGTGATAACGCAGGGGCCTTCTCCAGCGTCGAGAACTTCCCGAGAGTTACAGTGAACAGGGAAGGATTTAAGGATAGAGCGCTGGATCTTTACCGAAGCCCTGCAGGGCAAGTCAATATTAAACGCGCATTTCTCGTTTGTGGCCCAATAAATATCTAATTGGATAATGTATATGAGAGATATAACTAATCTCGAGGATATCTATCATGCACTTGTGTGTTGGGATGACAACAAGAAATGTGGTACTCGGACAATTTGAAATACGACTGTCGCATACGCTAATGTGCGACGCGGCGCAAAGAGTACTACCAAAAAGGATGACGCAGCAGCACAAAAGAAGATTAGGGATGGGGTACAAAAGACATATGAAGTTATATTCAACGAAGATACTGAGGGATTGACGTTTTACACACAAACCGATATTCTGCCTTGGTTTGTGCCCTACACGTGTACCTTCAAGGAAAATTACGTTTTGCAAGAATTTGAATGCGAGATTTCATCGCCGCCCAACACAAATACAGTTTTCGTCAAAGGCACAGGAAAGAAACACATGTATGTTCAGGCACTACTTGAACACGTATCAGGTACCAGTGTAGTCCAAGAGGTAAATCCCACTCGATCAGCTGCTCAGGTAGCCGCTCTAATTGCTGATGGTGGTCCTTCTGCTGTCAATGTTGATTTGGCCCCAGTGTTAACCAGTAACCCACCGCATATGAAGGACAGGATGGGAAACCGATACTGTAAAAAGAAAATCCCGCTTATCTGGTGAGAGTACTAGGCTCGATACCGAGCAGGTTGTTAAGTGCCATGAATGGTTTGTGCAAGGTGTTGGGACCGCGGACAAGATTTCAGCAGAGGCAGCAATACAACGTTTACGAAAGGACCTCAGTACAAATTGGAGTGCGAGCTACGCCACAACATTGGAAAGCGTAAAGAGACAGTATACTAAAAATCGAACAGCGTTGGATCCAAAAACGAAAGCAAATCCTAACTACAAACAATGCCTCGTATGTGATGTGTCCTTCATCTCTATGGGTATCCACGCAAAACACTGCCCCGAATTCAGCGACGATCGCACTTTATCCAAATGGATACATGAGAACGCCACACTACCAGATGGAACAACTGTACGACCGATTACAACAGATACTGCTGCCTTTGCTAAAATTAAGGATAACTCTGAATGCAAACAATGCAAAGTATGTAAAGCTTACTTTATTGCAGTCGGGCACCACGCGAAGAAATCTACCGGCTTTGGTGAAGATCAACTGCAATTCATCTGGTACAACAAAGCCGCTGTCCCGGAAACTTCTTCACCGATACCTACGCCTACGCATGTGCCTGTCCCGGAAACTCCTTGGCCAATACCTACGCCTACGAATGTAAGTGCATGTGCCTGTCCCGAAAACATCCTTGCCGGTACCTACGCCTACGCTTGTGCATGCACCTCTCCCGAGAACTCCTTTGCCAATACCTACACCTACGCAGATGCCTGTCCCGGAAACTTCTTTGCCAATACCTACGCCGCCTGTGTCTGTACTCATGGCATCGCCCATACCAATAATACATTCTGCACACACACAACCACTTCTAAAACACACAGAACCATACACCAGATTTACACACAAGCCAAAACAAGTACCTATGAAACGATGTATAGCTGAAGTATGTGGGGCGCTATCGTGAGATTTTAAAAGCGGCTGAATGATGATCCGACTTTGTATGAGTTAATACACAACAAATGAATCACTAAATGAAGCGAAGGAAATAAAAACATAATTAAAAGCGAAATACAAAATCATGAAACGAAGAGAATGAAAACAAAATTATGATTTGAAACGTGAATTATATCACGCATACACTAATTATAAATGATAATTACACGCACACGCACATACATACACACACACACACACACACACAC